ACAACGGCTCCGGGAACAACGACGGCTCTGGAGGTAACAATGGCTCTGGAAGCAATGGCTCTGGAAGCAACGGCTCTGGAAGCAACGGCTCTGGAAGCAATGGCTCTGGAAGCAACGGTTCTGGAAGCAACGGCTCTGGAAGCAACAACGGCTCCGGGGGCAGCAATGGCTCTGGAGGCAGTGGAAGCAGCGGCAGCAACAACAACGGTAAGAGCACCGGCGCTAACAACACTGGCTCAGGCACAAGCCTGGTCATCACGGTCACCCCAACAGAGGATGAAAGCAGCGGCAGTGGTGGTACAGGCACAAGCTCAACCTCCAGCATCTCGCTTGCAATTTCTAGCAACGGGGTGTCGGGCTATGCCAGTACCAGCCCCAACCACTAGCCCCAGCTATGATCATTCATTCCACATCCAATGCCGAGCGGCATAACTATGAATGATAGCTAAGAGATATCCTCCTTCAGATAGCAAGAGTTCTTCTTCATCTTCTTCTTCGAAAGGTAAGGAGCCCAACGAAATCGATACCGACAGCAGCAGCGGCGACAACAATGGAAGCACCAACACCGGCAGCGGCTCCAGCATCTATGTCAGCGAAACAAGCAGCAACAACAACAGCTCCACTACAAACAAAGGCGATGACAAGGATGATGACAAAGATAAAGATGGTGATAGCAAAAGTTCAGACCCTGTGAGCTCGTTGCTCTCGAGTGTTTCGGGCTTGCTGGGTGGGCTTCTCGGACGCTAGGTGATGCTTGATAGTTGAGTGTCATGTCGATTGTCGCGGAAGAGTAAGTGGTGGCGGTAATACTACCATAAGGCGAGAGTGATAAAAATTGTTGGTACTTGATTTTGATTTCGTTACTAGTTACTGGTTTGGTTCTTTGATTCGTTTAGAGTTAAGAGGATCTGCTTATTTACTCATTACTTACTTACCTAGCTACGCGCTAATAATTTATCGCTTTCCTCATCACTCTCTAGAGTAACGATCTAATCCACTTCGGATATCCGAAATAGCCCATAAGCGCTCTCGCGCAGACTCGCATATCTTCCTTCCTATCCACCAAACCAAACCCCCTACTATAATCCTTGAACACATTCCACCCCTGCCTCTGATCCTCAGGAACCCGATCCCAAAGCTCGACGGTCTTCTCCTCGGAGAAATTAAAAGACATCCCATAAAGCACAAAAAGCCTCGCGATATAATGCAACCGCGGAGAATGCCAATCCACATCCAACCAAGTCATCCTCAACCGCCAGGGCATCTTCCGCACCGCCATCCCATCGTCCCAAAGCTCTTTGAACGCGTACCGGCCGCGTTCACCGCAGACGGCGTGCACAATGCCATGACTCCCGTAGGCGAGGTGAAACAGCGTCCGATCCACGACCACGTCCACGGGCACTTCGTCCGCTGTGACTTCCGTATCGGGATGCTTGGCGCGCGTCGCGGCGTGGAACCGGATTGAGGGGGTAAGCGATACCATTGTTGCTATGGTGGTTAGTGGTGTTGATAAGGGTACGCTGTAGCCTCGGTAAGGGAAGTTCTGGGCCGGGCCGAATATGGATGGCCGGATTATGAGGAGTTTGTTGGGGGAGACATCATGGGTATGGTTTGGGCTTTGATCATGGTTTTGGTTGAAGGCTTGAAGGAGGACCCGTTCCGAGAGGTGCTTGGCATAGGCGTAGGGCCAGGGGAAATCGTGAAACCGGGACTCGTATTCCGTTGTTGTGCCTCGGGACTGGAGCTCTTCGTAGATTGTTGCTGTGGAGATGGATGGGGATGATGATGATGATGGATGAAGCGGGTATAGTGTTTCTCGGACCGAGATGTCGACGGCGGCCCGGGAGGAGGCTTCCGCGTAGAGATGACTGTTCGCGAAGGCAGAGGAAATGTACACGAAGCGGTGGAGGTGGGGGCAGGATAGCGCGAAGTGGGCAAGCCGTTCGGTAGCGCCGATGATGCTTTGGGATAGTTTGTGGAGCGGGTCCACGAGGTTGATGGATGAGGCGGCGTGGATGATGATCTCGGTGGTTGTTTTAAGGAGTGTAAGCGAGGTTGGGGGAAGGGCTAGATTTGGCTCTTGGATGTCGCCGTCCAGATAGGTGATCAGGTCCGACGACGAGATTAGCGTGTCGGACATGGGCTTGGGGAGGATCTTTTGCCATTTTTGTACGGCCCGACTGTTTGGAAAAGAGATGGAGATCAGCACAGGGATTCATTTACACGTTACTGGGGCTGTATATGGTAGAGTTTACTGCTTGCCTCCCCGGCAGAGGAGATATATACATTTTGGGCGAGCCTGCGAGACCAACCGGAGGACTAATGCGGTGCCCAAGAAGCCCGTGCCTCCGGTGACGAAGATGGTTTTCTGCGAAAAGAATTCCCACATGGTGTCATTCTGGGCTTGATACTGGACACCGTACTTGCTGTATTACTGGAGAGCCATATCTTCAATTCCGGGGCATTGTTGGGGTATAATATAATGACTGTGGGGAGAAAGTCCGGTATAGATCGACATATATCAACTACGGACGTGGCTCACGATCAAGGAACCAGATTGTCACGGGTGAGCTTAAACAGTCCCTCAAGGACAGGCATTATAGTAGTAACCATGGCACGGTCTCATCCACAACAGGTTTGCGACTGTGTCGATAGTAACGGTGGTTAGCGACAACGTATAACGGCGGCTAGTACACCGAGGCTGATTAGATAGAGTTGGCAGGTTGGCAGGACAAATGTGAGATTCCGAGTTGGTGGAAAGTTTAACCGGCCTGGGTGGCGAGAACGCCGGAGACTCTTGGAGGGGGACCACTTGGAGATGGGTCGGTGGAATCAGACCGGGAGCCCCTAGAGCCCATCCAGGTTTAGAGGAGTGGATTTGCCAGTGGATGGTGAACTTGGTTGGTGGCGACTCCCGCCTGGGTGTGTTTGCCATCTTGCCTCTTGGGAGGGCGTGTTGTTCATGTGTACCATACTGCAGAAAAGTGAGTAATGCAAGCCACAGTTTAGCAATCACCAATCAAGGATGGAATGACAAATGGGTGACAGATGGAAGAAGCAGCCGTAGGGGAGATTACTTTGTACTTTTGTAGATGAAGGGATTGAGAGGAGGGGGAGAAGAGAAGAAACAAGAAGGAGAAGCCGAAGAGACGCCGGACTGGCTGAGTCATGGCCGGCTAGAGCCGAACAGGGATTAGACTAAAACTGGAATTCTAGAAGGGCAGCAAAGAATGAATTAATTATTATTATTCACTTCTTTCTTTCTTTCTTTCTTACTTCTTTGGCCCAAAAGTGCACGGAATACAAACTGCCACTTCCTCCAGCCATGGCGAGAAAAGCAATAGCAACAATAATATGGTGATTAATGAAAAGGGGGCCTACATTACTCCTTTCTTCTTAACATGGCCTGGAATCATGCCCCCAGTCGGTGATTCCCTACTTCTTTTCACTTTCTTCCTCCTCTTCAACTCTCTCCCTCTCCCCTTTCTCCTTTTCCCTACTACTTCCAGATCCACACACCCCAACCGTTGCCGTTGATTTGATTCCCTGCGGCGCTTCCCCACGGCGTCCGTCCAGATTCATCCCAAGGTTCGACCGTCACTCGACGTGCCTAATCCGTTCCCTGCTTTTCCTATTTCTTTTGTGAAAAATATTATTTCTAATTTTCGTTTCCCTTTTCTAGCCCTTCCGTCTACCAGACTAGACCCCCCGTGTCCCTTTTGGAACCCACCCGATACGAGAATTGGCCACTGTGCGATTTCGCCTTATATTGCAACTTGGGAACGCGCCCTCTCTCTTCCCTCCCCTCCTTCCAGGGCTCCCCTGATGTCTAGATAGCCTATCCGTCGACCACCATCTCCATCCCCATCCATCTGGTCCGGATAACACAGGCCTCACAGGGTTTCTCTCGCACTCTCGCCAGATATTGTTACAAAGGTCATCTGGATCCTCCAACCCGTCTCGACTTTAACCCCGAGACAAGAGACTCCGTTACCATGTTCGAGGACTTCTCCTTCTCGTCTCCGTCGTCCACCAGGCCCTCGCGCCTGGCGCTCGATGGCGACGACCGCCTCATGGTCGACAGCGACAGTTCCCTCATCTCTCCCATGTCGTCGCGCTGTCCCTCTCCGCGCTCCCATCGCTTCCCCCGGACCGCGTCTCGCTCTCGCTCCTCATATTTCCGCTCCGCACAGCAGCCACCCACCTCCGTGCCTTTCTCTGCCTACGATCACAAACGGCTCTCTATCAGCACTTTGACGCGGAAACTTCACGAGCACACCCTCCAAAACCCGAACGGCCTGCAGCCCGAAGAAGCCGGTCGCTTCGATCGCCCGGCCTCTCCAACTCCATCGGATCTGGGCATTTCGTCCAAGTTCCCCGGCTACGTCCTCACGCCGCCAGACACAGATCATGACGACGAGTCCCTGACTTCGGGTTCCCTCTCTCCGCAATCCTGCTCGCCGTTCCTGAGCCCTACCTCCGTGCCCGCAGACTTCCCCGCAGCCGACAACATCGATCTGAACGGCAACGCCACTACGGCCGCTCCATCGTCAGACGCCTGGACTGTCCGGGCCCAAAGACAGCAGATCTCCCGCCTACAATGCAACCAGTCTGACGTTGAGGCGATTCGTCGTGCCCTTGTGTCCGATGACGAGATTATGCGTTCGGCCATTTGCAGGGACTCCATCTGTGAAGAGGACTATCACCCCAGTTCACTACCGCCGCAGACTTCGCCGCGGAGACGTGCCCTGACTTTGTCGCGGAATCGGTTCCGCGGCCAGGCTTCTTCCGCCGCGTCAGCGGAATCAGCTGGTCCGGAGACCCGGGCACGTCGGAAGAGCAGCGTCAGTGCGTTGGCGTCGTCACATCGCATCGAGAAGAGCTATCACTGCTCATCGCGAGATATGCACAAGAAGAACGAGCAAGGCTTGAGGCGAAAGAGCCTTGTGAGTGCGGCGTTGGCGTCTATGGTGGAGCAGGGGCCAGAAGAGTAATCACTATTCTCTTCCCGTTCTTTCTCTTTTCCATTTCTTCTTTATTTTTCCCCATTTCACTTGATTCCTCTTCTTCCTATCATTGTATTCTCTCATACTTTTTTATGATATATCTGTTATTTATTTGTTTTGTTGGATCTATCGTCATCTCTCAGGGTTCGGGCTTTTTGTGTGCGCGTTGAGAAGGAAAGATACCCAGATTGTGTACCCGGTTACTTGTCTGTCTTACTACTTGTCTGTTCTGTTTTGATCCCTTTCGTTGTCTTGTGTTGTACACAGTATCTATCATGTATTAGTTCACATTTACGCTGTAAATATCCACTTCTTTCCCCCCTTACCCATTACCCTTACAGTTACCGTCACCGGTGTTCTACTATTGTTCATCACATATACGTCTCATGTTTGTTCGGATCGGATTGGATTTGGCTTGCATCTCTTCAGCCCGTTATGTTTCCAGTCTTGGTAGTAGTGGTAAACCAGATAAAACCATAGGTGATACAATAGAAGCATATATAGCATGATGAAGCATAGCAGAATATAGGCTTGCAACGGTTCACGATAACAAAAAAAAAAAGACGACAAGACAAGACAAGAAAGAGATCTATTTGCATTGCATCATGAAACCCAGTCTTCAATATCAACAATGGAAAAAGGATAACTTTAGTACGCGGGATTCCTGTCAAAGGAAAAACATCCCGGAGATGGAAACCACAGTGGAGAGCAATGGGGAGGGTAGACGGGAAGGGTACGTGTGGCTCATAAAGAATCGATGGATCAATCAATCAGTCGGTCAATCAATAAAATGGGGCAATTGAGGAAATCATGGCTGCATATCTGCATGTACGGATGCTGCATATGCACATGCAGACCAGACGGCAGGTAAGCAGGCGAGCAGCAGATCCGCAGCATATAAGAGAGAAAGTGGCGGTGCCGAAAGTATCAAGTAGAGCTGAAGTTACTGCGGGGGCAATAAATCAGAAAAGACAGATGGAGCTGAAGGAGCGGTGAGGGTATTGAAATGAGTGTTGCTGCAGAAGCGGGCGGTTTTCCGATGGGTTACTGCCGTTTCTTTCGAAACATGCTGTATAGCCGTTTAAACGGGTTTAGTGGCCCCGCATTGGCCTTGTTGTTCTTTTTGCGTTTCTCGAGCGAGCGTTTGGATATGTTGTGGTGGATGTGGATTTTTTGCGTCTGGTGTGGCGAGGGGAACGGTGATGGGCTGGCGTAGGGGGACGGAGGGTTCGAGTATAGCGGATGGGGTATGCCAGGTCCGTCTTGGATGGCAGAACCTCCTTGCCAGAGGTTCATGTCGTAGTACCCTGCTAGGGGTGAGACTGGCGATGCTGGGTACATTTGTCCGTCACTTGGAAACGGAGCCGTCGATGGACGCGCATATGACATTGGCGACGGGTAATCACCGTCTTCGTGGATGGGGGAGCCCGGCTCCCCCAGATCGCTTTCATCGGTCCAAGCCCTCGGTCGCAATGGCGGCGGCCGACGTTGTGTGTAGTTTGAGGATCGTGAATACCGTGATTCCATGTCTTCGGAGTCCTTGTTCTGTAGGCGCTCGGAGATGGATGGTATGGGCTGGTGCGGAGTATCGCCCACGAGCTCTTCGTGGACTTTCTGTTCATCTTCTTCTGGCGCTGGGCTCAACGGTGCAATGGCCCGAAGGTAATCTTCTTCAGATATCGTCAGCCGCTCTTCAGTCGTCTCTATGTAAGATTCCCGGTGGTGGCCGGTCGAGTCGCGAGCTGAATAAGCATCGACATCCTCGATAAATGAGACTATTCGAGCAAAGTTGAGGGATTCATGAGGATTGACGATCTCGAATGATGTGCCATGATCAATAACGGTTGCAGTCCGATTTTTCATGTTGAATAGGATTGAGTCCGAGCGGGTCCGGGTGTGCTTATGAAAGGACCCTTCCTGGTCTGGATTTGAATCCGGGTATTTCTCCAATCTGTCACGAAATGTGTCCTATAAACCTATGTGAGTAGGAAATAAGTAATTGTTGCGGGGGGGTACCACCTACCAGTAGTCTGTGGGGGTTCGATCTAGAGTATATCGGGCTGTCCGACGAATGTAATTCTACATTTGGCGACACTGGTAAAGTTGTCAGCATTCTGATCCATTATGACACTTGCGCATGCGAAATCATAGTCACTCACAAGCAAACCCCCGGAGACTCTCTGGTCCCTGCTCACTCATCGCGCTCGGCGAGTAAGACGGGGATAACGGGGGAGGACTCGATGCCGCGGACGACACGGAGAACGGATGCGCGGAATGATGCGGATACATCGGGGTCTGATTGAGGTGTATAGCAGCGTTCTTGCGCTTCAAGATGTGTCCCTCTGGACTGTCAAAGGCAAAGGCGTCGCTGTCGGAGAGTTGTTTGCGATAGTGGTGGAGGGACAATGTTCCTGGAAATGCGGGCTGGCACATGGCCGGACTCGTGGTAGATAACTGTAGAGGGTCAGGGTCGAGACCGGGGGGAATTGATGATGTCGAGATTGAGTTCATAGCGGCTTGTTGGTGTATAGATCCATGGCCCGAGGACCAGACATCCATGGTAATGGCCACGCCAGGCATCGCCGAACCCGGTTGTCTGATGCTTAAAGGAGAAGGTGGAAAGTAGTAGTACCTGAGAACCAGTGGATGAAGGTTAAGAATGAAACGAGAATGAGGACCACCCGGGGATTTTGCGAGGTTGCATTGAGCACAATTGGATTGTTTTATTTGTTGTTGTAATTTTGGGGGGAATTAATTATTTTTTGAACACCAACACAGGGTGTTTTGTCATATGTAGTAGCAAGGCAACGGTGCTATTAGCATATTTCCTGCACGTTGATGTGACGGCAGAGCAAAGGGGAGTTAAATGAAAGCGAGACAGGGTGTCTCAATTGACTGGATTGGGTAAGAAGTATAGAGTAGAAGTAGGTAGGAAGGAGTAATAGTAAGAAGTAGTAAGCAGGAGATGTAACACAATACAATGAAAGTATAGTAGGAAGTAAGTTAAGTAGTAGGGGTAAGTAGTTACTTGATCGCACCCGGCAATCTGAGAACCACTGCGATGGCCGTGCGAGAGAAAATGGTAAGTAGGGTAAGTAGGGTAAGTAGGGTAAGTAGGGTAAGTAGGGTAAGTAGGTAAGGTAAGTAGGACGACAGTAATAACGAAGACCCTTTGAACAAGACCGACAGACAGACTCGGCCATGGGCTGATGAAAGAACAGACAGACAGACAGAAAAACACAACTAAAAGCACAGCAGCGTCACTTGACTGCCAGGTCAAGCTGCAGTTGACGTGCATCGCAGCCAATCATGGCCATGACTCCGTTTTCAGTCTCAAAAACATGACCAGTCCAGCCCACTTGGGCATCAACTGCGTGGCTAGTAGTATTTCTGACTGTGTGGGAGGGGATCCACTGCCCCATCCCCTCCCTGCAAAGTACGACGGTGGTACTTACCACTCTATTGTTCTACCGTTGTAGAATCAAGTAGGAGAAGGACACCAGAGAGAGAAGAGAGAGTGGGTGTGGATGGATGGACGGGTGGGTGTGAGAACCAGAAAATCAAAAGTATCCAAAAGCATCCATCCCTCTCTCTTGGACGGGACAACTCCGACCGAGAGAGAGTCATCATCCACTTCCAACTTGCACATCCCCCATCTTACAATCTTTCTCCCTTCTTCCTTTTTTTCTCCTTGACTTACTCGTTCTCTGCCTCCTTCTTCCCTCCCCTTGCCTCCCTCTCGAGACATGATCCTTCCGAATGACCTCAGCACTCCCCCTTCCCGAGTAACCAACTAATCAATCTACATTCCTTGAAGATCCTGTTTCAACCCTTTCCCATCCCGGTGGTTTGAGATATGCCATCCGGGCCACCCATTCGTCCGCAGCCTTTTCCCCGATCATCGTCCCGGCTGCCAATCAACGTGGTCTACTCAGCTGTTTCAAAACTCGGGCGCATTCAAGTCAGTCCGCTTCTATATTTGCCTGCTTCGCCCATCCATTCCTTCTGTTCTGCTCCTCTCCGTAGTTCATGTGTCCAGTCACACTAGGCATCCTCACCTCACCACCCTTATGAACCGAGCCATGCTATACGTCCAATCCGTCCGCCATTTGAGTTTTCCATACATCATATGTGGCTACGATGGTTCCCTCTCAATTCAATGAGGCTGACGGTTTCTGATCCACTCCGCCGAACTTTACTACTAACCAACTGTGTTCCCGTTCCAGACTCTTGTCTCGTTCCCCAACACCTGCTGACTTCTATCGCCATTCGATAACTAGTACAGTCCTTTAAGGTTGCTTGGGGTGCCGCAAACAACTCGATAAACTAAATTAGGGTCAAACCCCAAAATCATCGAGGGATTCCCATTCTACAACATCGGTGCCAGGGTACTATTTTAGCACCGAGGGCGGATTTTCTCCGTTCGGCCAACCGAGTGTAGCGTGGCATTCTCTCACCAACGAAGCCAAGACCGCCATCTCATAAGCCACGAGAGGAAACCACTCTCCATTGAACTACGTTGACCGATACTGCAAGAGTGGAAACGTCACCAAGATCGCCCTTGTAGAGCCCTGTACCTGCCAATGTTTCACAAAGCACTCTGAAGCTGCGGTACGCCTTATCGTGTCTCAGGAGCTTCGTACCTATCTCGTGATCTCTCTAGTAAAAATGCCAGGCAATTTGGTGGAACATTCCCGCAGACCCCAGATTACGACGCAGTGCAGAAGACCTACTTTGCTCCCAAGGCCTAGACTGAGCTATCACTGTGTGTCTACCTCCTTAGTAAGTAATAATATTGGTTCGTCGAGCCATTGACTGGTGGGTAGTTGTATTCGAACTCTATAATTGGCTGTACAATTTACAGCGTCACAGTATAAACCCCCAATGATGCATCAGCATCTCTAAACACCTCGTTCTTCATTAGATCTAGAGAAGCTAGCTTTCATGTCACCAGTTGTGGTATTCCGAACGGAATACCGAACCAATCCTGTCAACATGGACTATTACGGCAAGTGCGATAGTTATCCGTGATACTATTATTGCCGTCACATCCATGTCTTCTATAAACTCTACTCCGAGCCATGCTCCAGATCCATGGTTAGATTGTGCCATGAGTTGGGCAGCAGATACGAACCGCATCACCTTTGCCTTGTCGCCAAACTGGATCTAGCCTCGGAGTCGTCTTCGCGTCCTCGCAGTCTAGATTTCTCCGGGTCTATTGAGAGCCGATCTATGAGCTCCAGATGACCTCATGCAATTGGCCCCTGGATTGACTTGACTGTTGATAGGCGATTAACTATAGCACGCTCGAAGAAGTCTATTCTGTCGTCTGATGCACTTGTATTCATATAGTCATCCCGAAGGCTGTCATGCATAAGTCAGTAGCTACTCCGTGAGCAAAGTAGAGCGAACGGTGAGTTAGTCTAGCCATTCGCTCGCCAAGTCATCTCCGCGGCTCAATAACTCAGTGGGCTAGGGACTGTATCGTGACTACTAGTAAAATAAGTAAGGCTAACTATGCGCACTTATTTCCTCTTTCAATATTGTATCATGTATAGAAAGCAAGCCATAGCCCGGCTTGCAGATGATCAGTGGCCCGGAGAGGATACATGGAACCATCATCCCGGAACCTTGAGCTACATCCCTTTTACATGAGCATTGCCGAGAGCATCTAGGAACAGGATTTCTCTCGTTAAATCAGTCACTGATTGGTGCCCTGTCATGCCGCCGGCCGAGGAACAGGCACAACAGCAGTAGGCAGCTCCGAGCATATCCATGCGCGATAGCTTCAATCAAGATGGAAGCGTCATTCTTCGCTCAGGTTGGCTTCGATGATTGGTTGGTGGTTCCCAACACGAGCAACAGCTCAGACAAAGAAGTCAATTCGTACTTACGGTCTAAATGTGCTGGTGCACTAGCACAGGACCCACTTGGTAGAGAGAGTATAATCTGCGAGGAACCATGGAAGCATCACGGATTCGGTACATAGCACGGCCTCGAAGTCTGATCGCGACACCCAGTCGTCTCAGATTGATATACTTGGAAGTTTCTAAAGAAAGCTCAGGCAAAGTGCTCGAACTCAATGCAAACCGGTACTTGCAGCAGAGAGAAAGAGAGCTGACGCGCCAAGAGGCAGTGGACGTGACCGGGCGGCATTAGTGTGGCTGGCGGGTACAAACTCCGCCCCGCATCTGCCAGCTTCGCTTCGACTCGTTGGACTCGGGCTAATCTGCTTCAATCTCCATGGCTGGGGTCTACAGGGTCCCATTCCATCCAGCTCCCCTTGTCATCTCGCTCGGTCTGCGCACGGAACTCGGATGGATCGCTCGACTCCCTGCAGGCTTTCAAGATCACCGGTTGACCGTCGGATCTATCGAATGCAGCGCTGACGCGGAAATCTCCATCTGTGATGGCTCACTTGGTCCAATCTGAGCTTTCCCGCCCCAGGGGCCGGTATTCTAACGGCTCAGTAAGGACATGTCAGAATTGTGCCAGAGCCAAGATACGGTGCCTCCGCCACGGGGCTACCGGGAGCTGCGATCGGTGAGCTTGTCTGAGTGAGCTGATTGTTTGGTTGGCTTACTAGGTCTAGATGCGAACGCCTAGGGAAAGAGTGCCATTTTCCAGAGTCTCGAAGCACAAATGGAGGGATCAAGAGAGATAACAAGGACAAGTGAGTTGCGAACCTCGGACCATGTAGTTCGTCTTCTCATCTCGCGAAAGGAGGATCGATCTACTCGAAGCCAAAGTCGACCAGTTGCTAGCGACGTCGGTATCCCCAATCCCGGTGCGTACAACACCCCCATTCGCTAGGCAGAGGACTAAACGTATTATAGAGAAATAGCAGCACAAGCGATGAAAGTCCTGCAAGCACTGCATCACAGTTTAAAGATGCCATTGACAAAGGCTTGCTTACCGTGGACGCCGCCAATATGCTGCTGAATGAATTCCGCGCGACGCTCATGCCTCATTGTCCATTCGTGGTCATCCCACCACTGACCTCTGCTGAGAGCCTCAGGAGAGACAAGCCGTTTCTTTTCCTTACCATCTTGACGGCTACTCTGTATGACAACATGCCTCTGCAGCGTATGCTCGAAAAAGAGGTGAAGAAGAAGGTTAGCGACTGCATGATCTTCGATGGACCAGTCTCATTCGAAGTGCTGCAAGGGCTGCTAGTCCACATTGCATGGTACGCCTGATAGTCTATGTTTGTATGCTGAACTGACAGGTCTAGGTGTCAATATCATTCACGGCCACGCCGGTTCTCACAATATCTGCATCTTGCGATCAGCATTATCACGGACTTGCAACTGGATCGCGCGCCTGAATATCGGCTCTGGAGGACTCGAGTGAACTTTAATCCGGAAGAACACAAAGAGTCGGTGTCTTGGGGGCATGATGAGAGACGGGCCGTTCTCGGAATATTCTATTTTTCATCGAGGTAAGGATAGCTTCTATACGATTAGTACTGGAGTTAACGTCTCGTAGCGTTTCGCAAATCCTACACAAGCAATGCACCTTTTCGTACATGCCATATTTTGATGAATGCTGCAAGCACTTGGCCACAGATGCCGAGTATGCCTCTGACCAGCACCTACTCCATATAGTACAGCTTCAACGGCTATCGGAGAAGATCACTTCTATCTCAGCACAGAACATTCTAGGGACCCACGGTCCTGGCTCAAGCAGTGAGCGTTCTTTTCGTGAGATGAAACTAGAGCTGGAGCAATATCGGGCTAGTCTACCGTGTCCGTTGAATGAGAACAGTAAGTAGCAGCTTTTGATTGACTCCATCACAATACTGATGACACAGATATCCTTTTTATGCAATACTATACGGCCGAACTGTATCTCTGCCAGATTAGTTTGTTCGATAATAAGCCCAAAACGCAGAGCCCAAGACGTGAAGTTTCATTTCAGATCGAGGCTCTCCGGATGGGCCTTGTTGCGGCCAAAGCTCTACTTGACTACTACGTCTGCCTCCCGTTGCGCAGTGAAATGGCGTTCAACAACGCCATATGGATTCAGATTGGCTTCGCGCTGACTCTTGCCAGCAAACTTGTTGTGGCAGCGTCAGAGCCTTCGATACAGCCTCATACAGCGGAATTGTGCCGTGCGTTAGACATATCCAGCATGCTAAGTCGTTGCATTCTTCGCATTCAGGCACTAGTCACGTCTAATATGGATGCCTCCGGTGACCGAGATGTGTTCTACCACTATGAACAGCGTCTGAAGCGAGTTCAGTGGTGGTTTGAAAATCGGATGTTATCAAGACAAAAGAGTGATTCCGTTCAGCCTCCAGTACAACCTAGTAACATGAGCCCATCTGGAGCTGAGAACAATCACCTTGAATCCGCGCAGCTGCCACTGGATGGATTAAATGATTATACAATGATACCCCGTGAAGTGTACGATATGCAATGGCCGGGCTTTTTTCCCGACGCAACAATTGATGAGATCCTCTTTGACTGGATGGAGTACACGAAGGCGTCTGAGCAGCGCTTGCGCTGAGCGATGAAATCACTGCCATCTATCTCAGTCAAGACAAAAGCAATCCCATTAATGCTTTATTCAATACAGTGCAATTCCATCAATAGCTATCTACACCAGAGTATACCCCCGCTTCCTCGGCTCCCTCCTCACCCCAAACACCACCAACCCCATCACCCCAAGCGCAATCCCAGCCGCACACCAACCCACCCAATTCCCAAAGAAGCACTCCGACACCGCAATCTCGTCCCCACGCGGCCTCTCTCCAATATACCGCATAAAGAATGCCTCTTCAGTCCCCTCAAACATATCCCCGGGCACAATGGCTACTCCAACCCTAACAGCAGACAACCACACGCCCAGCACCCGACTCACCAACACCGCCCCAGCACTCACAAAAGCCATAGCATAC